AAATCAAAACACCTTATATTTCAAAGAGAACAATTTGATGTTACAGGACCATCTCAACCAAAAAGTTTAACCTTTTGGTTGAGTTGTTCCTTTAATTACAAAATTTTAGTTGAGAATTTTCAAAAACTTCAAACCGAAAATAGTTTAGGGGTCTGTACTTCAAATTTTCCGTACCAGAGACGATTAAATCTAATGGGCAAAAACAAAAATTGGTATTACTGTACATAACTTGTAAAAGCATAATAGCACTGTAGAATGTAGGGTGTGTAGACCCATCGAAAGCAAGTTGGGTGCATGAATTACACGTAATTGACGGCTAAATATGAGCATAATATTAGAAATTCTAACAATATTATTAAGCAATTCTTGTAACTAACTTCACAAGAAAAGAATCTTAAAGCATCATTATTCATGTAACTTTCCCATGTGCTTTTTCTAATTACCTTATTAGAGATAGCTTTGAGGTATATAGTAACAGTTTTCATATGATTGGTAGCACCTTTTATGCATCAAAGTGGTAATGCGTAGAATTGATCGATATACTCCAATTACAGGTGATTTTTGTGACGAGTTTGATCCTCGACTCAAAGGTGAAACATAGTGTTTAATCTTTAAAGATTAAGGTAGTTATCTGTTTTATTTTTTCTTAAATAAAGTTCTCATCAGTTAAAGTTTTTGGAGGTGGAAAAAAAAAGATTTTGGAGGTAAAAGCAAAAAAATAAAAGTTAGAGGTAAAAGCTAGAAAATTACCAAAAAAAAAAAAAAAAAAAAAAACAATCCATCACTATTCCATAGTTTGCCGAATATCGATTTTTTTTTTTTTTTTTAACTTCTTTTTCTTATAAGTGAAAATGAAGCTTTAGGTATCTTAACATTCCTAAATTATAACATTAGCATCTAATTATGTGATTGTCTAAGGTGCTTATTATAATACCTTTTTCTTTAGATTATAGGTAAGTAGATTTACCTAGAGTAGACCATAACCATTATAGTATACTGATCCTGAGTACAATTACCATGAAAGTGTAGGAGAAAGGTAAGAGAATCTCATGCATCCTACGTACTTTTATTTGACAAGATTCGAACATCAAAACATCATGTAATGTAAGAACATTACTAGATGAGGCAAGTCGCACTTTTATTTGATAAGATTCGAACCTCAAACCATCATGTGATGTAAGAACATTACTAGCTTAGATGAGACAAGTCTTGTTTAGTGTTGTGGTTGTACCAAGAATAGTTATTTTTGCAATAATCGAGCATAGAGTAATACAAGTTCATTGGATTGTGGCCATTACTTAATTATGTGTTTCCTTCAAAATTAGCTAATGTAAGTATACAATTATACACAACGTACTTTGTATTATATATTTAATACTTCGAATGTGCGCACTTGTACTTGTGGTTTTGTAGATAAGTGTAGGTATGGGGAGATAGAGAATGAACATGCAATTTTCAGAGAGATGATTAAAGGCATAATTAGTTTATTAGTTGTCATATTCAAATATGGAATCAACAAATAACAATTGATTAACTGTATAACTGTGTTAAGCAAAGCTACGGTTATGAAGGATGATGTTTCTTAGAATAGACTTTTCCTCCTTGTTTTATGCTACTAGACAAATTTTGTCTAATCTTTTTTTTGAAAATGCTAAGTAGCCTAAGTTCGTAGTTAAACTACAATGATTTAATTAGAAGTATAAATTACAAAAGTTTGAATTACATTAGCTAATATAATAATCTTAAAGAATCTTGCCTAATGGTATCTTTTCAATCAATTAAACAAATAAGTTCCTAATTCTTTTGTTTTTTTTTCAATTTTCTTAAATTAGGAATAATTTCATGTAAGAACAAAAAAGAAGTGAACAAAATGTTAGTAAGACCAAAACCTTGCATGTCTGTCAAGTCAAAAAATTGAAGGCATTGGATCTTGAGCAACACAGATCAGATAATTATTCTTAATTCTCTGTAATCTGTTTATTCTTATGCAGGCCAGCTGATTATCATATGATCAACCCAAAATTAGCTTTTTAAAGGGTCTAAAGCTGTTTTTAATTAAAGAATTAGTTTCATAATCATATTATACATATTACTAGTTACAGGTATTAGTGGATTTGCACAAGATATCCAGACTGTTGTTTAGTGTAGTTAACTAAAAAGTCTGACTAAACTTTTTTTAATTAATTATTCTGAAGTAACAATGTTTAGTGATGGTTCATGCTGTTATACACAGTTAAAGAGAAAATGAGCTCAATCTGATATATTTGTGCAAATTCAGAACCTGAAATCCAAGTTCTATACTCAGAACATACATGATTCTGCTCTTTTTAGTGAAAAAAATGGTAGATAAGAGGAAATGCCTTTTATATGTATATGTTCTAATACAGGTAAAAAGTGACGGGAGTATTTTTCTACTCGTAGTAATTAAAGATTAATTTAAGCATTACCTAAAGAAATACCCTGCATGTTGACATAAATTTCAAATACTTGTAATTTCAACTCCTAGTTATTTTTTTTTTCAAAAAAAAGTTGACGTTTTTGTATGGATTACTAACTTGAAATGTTGTGAAAATGTACATATTTTCCCTACCTTTTTCAATGAGAAGAAAATATTATTCGATCTCACTGAGAATATGGTGTATAACTTTCTAATAGTAAATTGTCAAGAACGTATAATGTAGTCGGAAACATGATCTCATATTTAAGACGACATCCTTAACCAAATACCATTATTGTTTTAGGTTTAAATTTCCTTACCTGGATAAATTGTAAAAAAAAAGAAAAAGAAAAAAATCATACTTCGTATTATTAGTGCGTGCGGCATGACGAGCCAACATCCAATGCAAAATACAATTACCGAAACGTATGTATTAAAAATTATACGGAGTACGTGATGTATTGCATAATTATCATTAATTTATGTTTGACCAAGTCAACAAAAGGGTTAGAAAAAACCACTGAACAGCACCAAAATCACAACCACCAAGGATGTCTTTGTCTTTATCTAAAAATTTTACAGCCTCAACCTCAAAAACATCCAAAAGCTTAACCCAAAAATAAGATTAATTTTTTTTGAAAAAATCATAATAAAAGTAGAAAAATAAAAATAGGGTAAAAAGAGAGATAAAAATAATAATTTGGGGAAGACAGTAAAAAATGGAAAGATATGTTAGGAGTGTCGTCCCACAAAATTAGACATGGTACAACTAGTGGGCACTTCCCCATCCCCCCATCCCCCCCTCCCCCCACACACACAAAGCTGAGTGTCCCTACATTTGTAAGTTGTATTCTTGTAATTTTGTCAAACTTGCCCTTCTTGTACAAGCAACAAATATTTATTTACATTTTTATTTTATGTACAGATTAAATGTTGTACCACTTTTTATTTCATCCTTCACCCATGCCATGAACCCTCTTGTATTTCATTGGTTTGATTTTTATGGGCCAACATATCATATCCTCTCCTTTCATGTCCCTCATGTTAGTTTCCTTCATCTACACTACATGCCTCTAGCTAACTATAGTCTCATCTTCTTTCCAAACTTGTACATGCATGAAGTTTTGGATTCAACACCCAACTTCATCAACTCCATGTGTGTACAACGACACTAAAAAGGTAGGAACATTATTGATATAGACTTGTGTAACACGCATTGTATTCCAAATTCAATATATATATAATATACACGTGTTGGCCTTAAAGTGGAGTTTTAATCGTTTTAGTATGTACTTCATGTGTTTATATATTGTTAAATTTTGTTAGACCGTTTACATGATTTATATGCGCTTTGAGTGTGTAGTTGAATGTTTACTTCATCTATCTCCTAAACTCTATATATATTTTGAATTATCTATCTAATGAATTTTATAGGAGTAGTTTATTTGTAAAATATAAATGACCAAAGTTGAAAATGATTGAATACTTGTATAATTTGAATTTGAATTTATAATAAGTATGCATATTATAATTCAAAACTTTCAACTGCAATAGCTGAGAAGTGGGAGAATTTGGGGAAATGTCCAAAATCATAGCTAAAAAACACCAACCATTTGGCTACCAATTTGGCTTTAGAAGCTATTAACAAGTGTCTTTTCTTTTGGTGCAGTAAGTGTCTCAATATACAGGAAACTTGTTTTCAAGTTATGTCATGCCTAACAACCATAAAAATAAAAGGTAAAAACAAACATTAACACACTACTCAATCTTAATCAGAGACTTTGTACTACCTCCGTTAAATATTATGTGCAACTTTGGAATACACTACTCAATCTTAATTAGAGACTTTGTACTACCTTCGTTAAATATTATGTGCAACTTTGGAATATTTTATAATAATTAAAGGAGGTAGTATATTAATATAATTGATTGACTAATTTGCACTATGTTACCTTCAATTTAAAAACATACTATACTCATGTAGTAGATAACTTTGATTTCAAATTGCATTGGTCTAAACCATAAATTAGTCAAGTGGTAACGAGTAGGCTATCATAAATTTGGTATAAAAACTACCAAATTAAACCAAAAAGTCAAACATAATAAGCCTAATATAGCCAATAATTTTGAAATAGAGAAAACAGTGAAAGCGAAATGGTAAGCTTGAAGAGCTTAAGAAAGTCTATTCACGGGAATGTCGCTTAATAATTGAACTTGATATTCACCACTGTTTCCCTATACATTATCATTCATTGCCACATACCTCTCACATGATAGCTGCAGCTAATTTGACCAATCAATTTCTAAGCACCATTTTCATTTAAACCAAACCAATACAAAGTATCCGTACTAATTCCGACTTCAAGACTTTACCAATTAAGCAAGTTATGGAAGCAAAAAAAAAGACCAATCAATTCCTAAGCACCATTTTCATTTAAATCAAACCAATACAAAGTATCCGTACTAATTCCGACTTTGATATGTACTCAGACTTTACTAATTAAGCTAGTTATCGAAGAAAAAAAAAACAAAACAAACGTAAATAACATAAGAAAAACAGCAGTAATAAGGCAACTATTATGATTCCATTATTGAATTATAAACCCCACCAAGGGGAAATTACATCAAACTGACGGCTTTTTTTTGTGTTTATCATTACAAAAAAAAAACGCAATGTCATCACCCCAAATCACTTTATATTATGACTAAGATATGAAAAGGGGGGAAAATTAACAAAATCCACCTTTCCCTTGATTAAGCAAGCTAATTAACCTAATACAACCCCTAATTATATAATACTACTACAAATTCCTAAAAATAACCCCCCCAAACTTTATTACAAACCACAATAGTAATATTTTGCATGAAAATTTTAAAAAATAAAACCTTGCATTTCATGCCTAACTTCTTCCTACTTGTATTTTCTTCTTCTAACCCTTCTTTTGATGGAAGTCTCCTTTCAAAAGCAACATCAAAAGCTGCATATCTTCTTTCAATAAAGACTTGTAAAATATTAAAAAAAATAAAAAAGAAAAGAACTGGATTTCCCTTATTCCTTTCATCCCAATTTCCTACTACTAGTACTTTTTTTTTTCCTTTTTTCACCCTTCAAACCTCTTCTGTTCTAATATAAAAACCATATACTATACCCTAATTAAAGATCTAATCCTCAAATTTTCTCTCTCCTCAACAAAAGAACCCTAGGAGAGAGAAAATGAGAATGCCAAAGTCAGTAAGTCCAGTCACTTGGAAGCCGGATTTCATCATTCCTTATCATATTTCTCCTTTGCTCCAGAATTGCATTTCTCCTTGCCATTATAATATCTGCAACATTTTCACAATTACTTTAATTAATCCCCTAAATAAAACCAATTAATTACACAATTAAATTAATTAATTAAACTAAGAAGAAATTACCGTGGTCAGAAAACAACCCAGACCCAAACCGTGAATGAGCACTCGGGTTAACCTCCTCGAAATCACGATTCAGAGCATGGACTACTCTCGCTGGTAGTATCACTGTAAAACACAAACAAAAAATGTAAATAATCTAAGTTACAGAGAATTCAAAATTGTAACAGATCTGAAAAATATAGGGGAATATATTTTTTTCATTTTGCAGAAAAACCAAACTATCAAGAACATTAGAATTTATTTTTTTTGGTAACAGATAAAACGACAAAGACCCAATAACGAATTAGACACGAGAAATGGATGATACGATGCACTGCATTACTACAACTACGAACGAATACAAGTATACAACTATTTTCTCTCTCCTCCAAAACAGAAGGAATTAATTTATTTACCAGTTGGTTTTTTGCGAGGTTCAGGGGGTGGTGCTTGATGAGTTGTGGTACCAGCTCGCCTTGGAAGAAACACACCGGTTCCTGTGGACTGACGCTTCATTCCAGGTGGGCCGGACCCAGGCCCGTTAATGAAGACAGCCCGCATCCCTGGCCCACCGCCATTGGGCTGGCGGTGGTGGTTGGGTCGGAGAGATGGCCATGCAGACTGTGGTAGTCCGAGTGGTCCGCCGCCGCAACTTCGCCTTTGTTGGTGGTGGTGGTGCTGTTGGCAGTAGAAGTTTCCGGTGTTCCCCTGTCTCTTCACTTGTTCATACTGAAATTCCTGCCAAAAAAAAAAAATCAGAAATCAAATGAAATATTATAAATAAATAAAATCATTAAAAAAAATTGCAGAAAATGTATTAAAATTGTTCATACAGGAGTAACGTGAGGGAAGTCGTAGAATGAGTTGAGTTGTTGACGATGATGATGCGCTTTAGAGAGAGAAACGTTTCGAGGAGCAACGAGAAGACCTCTGTTCTGTTGGTTGTTGCTGTGGTGTTGCTGGTTCACTTGAGCAGCGATTGCGTTCATTTTCAGGCGAGCAACTTGACCAGCGGCTTCATACAAAAGCTCCCAAGCGGCGTCGTTTTTGGGTGGAGGTGTCACCGGTGGTGACGGAACTCTTGGTGAAGGTCCGTTAGGGCTGCCGTTACTTGAAAACCCGCTCCGATTCGACCAGGGTCCAAACCCGGTTAGCGTCGATTGTGGCGACGTTGAGAAAAGCCATGGTTTCTAAAAATAGAAATCAACGAACAAATTTAGTTTCTCAGATCTATGAGTTGCTTTTTAGAATGAATTAGAAAGTTTATTAGTATATTACCTCTGTGTTGGAGTTGGGGGAGTCCTGGAGAGTAGACTGAGCGAGATGACGAGTCAACTCGGCCAAGAAATCGTCGTCGTCTTCATTAATGTTAAGCTTCTCGTCATTGTTGCTGTCACCACGTTCAGTCTCAGTGGAACTAATTGGCGAGTCAAGGGACGAGTTAGGGTCAAACCCGAACGAGTTCGAGAATATGTCGTCCTTCTTAAAGTTCTGGTGAGGTTTGTCGTCGGCGAGGAAGTCGTCGTCAGTGAGAAAATGAGTGGGAAGCCAAAACGCAGCGTTTTCCGTCTCCATAGTTTCGCCCATAGTTGCAACAGAGTAGTAGTATGAGTGAGGTTGAATGTTGTGCTTTGAAATGGAGTTTTAGAGAGAGAATGAGGGGGGGGGTTAGAGAGAGAAAGTAAAAGGGAGGGAGTTATGAGTGGGTGTGTTGGTGCGTGAAGAAGATTTAATTATAAGGAAGAGGAGGGAGGGAGGGAAGGAAGCTTTGTAGCTCATGAAATTGCAGGCCGAGGGACCCACTCAGACCCAGCTAGCTCTGGAGAAATTTAAAATAAATAAATAAATAAGGAAAAGGCAGAGAGGAGGAGAGAGAAAAGGTATGTGTGGGGGGTGTGTGAGAATGTTGAAGACAACCTGCTTTTATTAAGGTTTCTTTGATGGGGAAACTGGCCTCTATTTTTATTTTATTTTTTTAACAAATGATTTAATTAATTACAGTATGAGATTTCAAAATTGAAAGTTTAAATTAGACATGGAGAAAGTAAATGTGGTGATTCTGGTGAATAGTAATCTGGAGAAGAAACTACACTGCTCAAGTGTTTATTAAGATATAGAGTAATACAAGTTTTGATAAAGTAATTATTAATGTGCTCAATTAAACAATTATCGAAAATTCCTCTTAAAATGAGTTTGGTGAAATTTAACCATTGTTCTTGTATATGAAAATCGAAGAGCTAGCTAAATGTTCTATTCTCTTATCTCAACTAGTATTGTATAGTGATACGGTGGTCAGAAGATAATGTTACTACTAGATACTTTTATTTCAAAAAGGTTTTTGCATAACTGCATAAGTATAGAGTAGTTGTGACAAAATTAACATAAAAATTCAAGTTTATTGCAAAGTTTAAATAGAAATTAATTTTATTTTAGAGAGAAAAATGAGAGACTGGAACATGGAAACAAGTGGAGAAATTGGCCCTAGCAGTTGGGGACATTTGTTCTTTTGTGTAGAGACCCACCTGCCACCTGTGCAATTTTTTTTTAAAAGAAGCAGAGGGATTTTTTTTCGTTTTATTTCTTTTTTAAAAGTTTTATACACAAATCAAAAAAATAAATTAAAAAAAAAAAAAAAAAAAAAAAAAAAAAAAAAAACTACAGCTAATCAGGTAAGGTATAATTGTACATGGACCTTCAACTCTTCAAGACTTCAATCATGCATACATGCTCACCCTAATTAAGACTGAAAATTGCAGAAAATATTAATGATTTTACCCTTTTTTCCTAATTATTTTTCTACAATTTCAGTTAATTTTTTTACAGTTTATTGTCCGGTAAAAGTAGGGAACAGGGAATTTTTAATTGGAATTCATAGGGAAATGTGTAACAGGGTAATTAAGAGTTTAAAAAATGGTGCTTGGTAATGTTCTTTTGCATTGTTAATGACAATTGAATGTTCCAAAGGTATTCTATATCATTAGTATATGGATTACAGTAGACACATTGACTCTTCGAATAACGTTTTCCAAACAACCATATTGTCCAATTAGTTGGAGTGTTATGTTTTTGTTTTCGTTTGTGTTATGATAAATTGCATTTAACATTTAATTAGCAACATAAAACATTCAAAAATTTAAATTTGAATTTGATTAAATTTATTATGAAGTATAATTAGGTTAGATTACATGCGATGCACGGTTATTTTTATATTTTGTACATTTTAAAAAAAATGGATAAATATAAATAAAAATTATGCATCTTGTACAAAAATATTTGTAATTTTATAGTTTTAGATTTTCATCACTGTTATTATATAATACCTATTTAACGTCGCCTAGTACATATTTCAATGTAGAAGTCCATTTATTAGTGCGCTATTTACAATTATTCATTTTTTAAAGTTAAATTGATAGGCTGTATTTGTAATGTAGAAGCTACTAATATTCAAATTTCAAAAATGTTAAATATGGTAGTTCCAAAAAAAAATGACATCATTTATGCATTTACGCGGAAAAAAATTTATTATGTGAGTAACATGTGGATGGTGATGACGTCAGCAACGTTTTGTTTTAGTAATAGTTAATAGATTTGAAATTTTGAATCCATGAAGTTTAAAACTTAAATTTAAAATTTGTACAAATTGGATCAAGTAATTGGTAGAATTGAAGAATTACAAGACTAAGGTCGAGTTTTTTTTTTTCCCCCTTCTTGTGGTCACAAGGGGCAAGCCCCATAACAAAGCAAAAGAAAGTAAGAAAAAAGAGAAACAAACAATCAAGACAACAGAATGAAACTAAGAAAGCAAGTAGGTTGCACTAGCATGACTAAGGTGTGCCAGCGCCTAGAAGACACCCTCCTTGGCCTCGTCACTCTCCTCAGGTCCTCCAATAAAACGATTCGAAGATCTTTCGGGACCATCTCAAAGAAGATAAATTTTTGATTCAACGTCACCCCATAGTTGGTTAACCAATCGGCTGCTTGGTTAGTCTCCCTGTAGCAATGTCCAATCGAAGTTCCAATCGTGTTTATTAACTAAGGTCAATTATTTGTCATCATTCTTGTTTTCATTAAAGGAGAGACATAATTAAATAAAAATTGTAAGTAAACCTTGTCATCCTTCACCTTAGCAAAGTGACCTGAATTTAGCTATTGGAAATGACTCAAATTTAAACTTGGAATGGTTATTTGCTTTTCAAAAAAAAAAAAAAAAAAAAAATCTCCAATACCTTTAGTCTGATCGGATTTTTTTATTTTTTTATTTTATTTTTTTAACATATGACATTAATTTACTCTTCCTAAAGCTAATAACACTTTCATTCATATGCAGTTTTCGTAGAGCATACACTAGCTCAATATATATTCTATCAAGATACAAACTCAATACTCCAAACATCCTTATTATGTGTACAACTTTAGATTAAACATTATGAAGCATTGTACATGAAATGAAAATATGATTATGTAAAGTTTGCTAGCTTCAAACCCTAAGTGTCATGTGTAGAGGGAATCTTGATTAAAAGATTTGTGAAGCTTTTAATAAGATAATTTCAAATAAAACCAGATACATCAAATAGAACCCTATACACTGCTCATGAATCACAATGTATCTCTTCTCTTTAATTCTCCAAGACTTACCCTTCTTCTATTTCATACTCTCCCTTAATTTGTATTTCGTTTAGTCACCCTTTGCACTTCGTATCTTGATATGCTCATCTAGTCATCCCTATCATTCCAAAACCAAACCAACAATGAAACCTATTATACCTTATTGTGTTAAGTTATTTGTAAAATAAACTAGGAATTTCCTTTTAAATCTCTACCAAAATTTGACTTAACTCTAATTTTTCTTAACTTATATGAACTATACTTAGGACGTGTTTGGCAGTATTTTTTAGTGGTTTGAATTGGTCAACCACTAATTATATATATATATAAATATATATATATATAAATATATATATATATATATATATATATATATATATATATATATATATATATATATATATATATAAGTGTTTGACAATGTAGTGATTGATGCAGGGTTTAGTGGTGAAAGAAAGTAGAGGTAGCTAACAGTTACTCTCACAACTAATAACTACTACCACAACTAACAGCCACCTCAACAGCTATATTTTGCCGAACACGTCTTTGCTTTTGGATTGTTTAGTCTCGCTTTGACTATTTAAATATGCAGTAATTGATTAAATAACCCTACTCATAGTAATTGAAGTGAATATACAATACATCCATGCTAAAGATTTGATATTAAATGGTCCACTCTATGACCCTAAAAATATGAATCACTTGGTGGAGTACATTGGTCGCATCTATAGAGTGTATAGCTAGTAGTATTAAGTAGGAGTAAATCACAAAACATTAACAAAAACATAAAAATGTAGCACTATGATGTGTGATTGGGTGGGGCTTATGCTCCCTTAGTGCTAAAACACAAGATTGTCGTGAGTAACGAGGGTACCCGTGAATTGGCCGGGTCAAACTAAGCAAATTTGGTAGGCTCCAGTCGCTCCACTTTAGAATCTTGAATCTTTTTTAACGCTAGCTATTCGGACCCCATCTTCATCCGTTGATTTTTTTTGGCACGTCGCCATCCAACGGTAGTCAATATTTCGGTTACGTGTCCCACATTCCACCCCGTATTTGTTACGGAGTATTCCGTACAAAAATTACTTCCAAGTTTTAACTTACGGAGTATTATATTTGGGTCTTGTTTAGTTGATGTAGAATAAATAGTATAATTCTTTGTTTATGAAATATTACATTCTTAATAAAAACTCTCAGAAATTACACAAATACGTTTGGATGTTCACGTGGGAATTTGTAAATCTAATTTATGAATGACCAATTGCGGGGATGATATATAAATTTTCATATTTTGTGAGAAGTTGAAATTCTCATGAATTGTGACTTATTATTATTTATTTTTTTTCTTTTTACTATGTAATGTCAACCAAATAATATGATTAAAAGGAAAGTCATGAGAAATTTGTATACCTATGAAAATTTAAAACATCCAAACAACACCTCGATGCAATGGCGGAGCCTGAATTATGGAAGGGCCTCCCTGACCATATACTATCAACAACAAAATAATCCAATATAAACACATTTAAAATTAAAAATAATAATAGACCAACCAATTAACAAAGACTACCATTAAAAAGGAACTATCATTGATAAATTAATCATCCGTCATAAAGCAATTTATAAACCCAACAATTATTATTAAAAAAAAAAAAAAGTGAGCATAAAATTAACAGCATTTCAATATGAGAAAAAATTTAAAGACCAAAACAAATTATAAGTAAAATGTAAATTCTTAGAAAATTTAGTAAGATCAATTAAATATATCTAACTAGGTTGTTTAAATTACCCAATCCGTTTTAACTAGTCCAAAAATTTAATCCAAAATTTTGGGTTTTTTTTTTTTTTTTTTCGGGAATTTCATATTGGATATGTGAATAAAAAATTTCAAGTTATTCGGATTAGATGTACTATCCAAAAACATCAATTTTTTATAACTTATACTCCTTTCCTTTTTTTTAAACTTTTAAGTGCCCCATTTGGAGTTTTGGCATACTCATTAAACATATTTTAACCAATGTTTGTGAATTATACATAAGAAAAAATTTAGTCTTGTGAATATTTGTTAAAATCGTCTTAATAAGTAAATTATTTTTATTCAATTTTTATAATTTATAGTTAATAATTAAATATATTATGATAGAGTTTTATATCGACATGTGTATCATGTCATCATGGGACACCTAAAAACAAAGAACAAGAAAGTGTTTATTACACAATCAAAGATATAATTGATCAAATTTGTGCTTTGACAAATATATCAATCAAACCAGGACATTAATCTTAAAAGAGAAAATACAGTAATAATTTTAGTGAGCGTTTTTTTTTTTCTTCTTGTTCTAGATAGTAATTTACACATTTCCCGCCAAACAGAACTAGATAAAAAATATCCGATAGAATGGGAAATTTCATGAAATAGGATAAAAAAGAATACAGCAAAATGGACCCAACTTTACCTGCTGAAAATGACTAAACATTGCAAGTCAATTTGGCGGGAAGATATACTTCTATGGGAAATTTCTGTTCTTGTTATGAACA